CGGGGTTGGTGTGTTGTGATCGTTTTTCCATTATTTGGTTTTTTCTTACTTTCCCAATACATATCAGTTTACTCTCTAGCAAAAAAACTGCACAACAAAAAAAGAAAAGCTTGGATCAGCCATGTCAACCAGATCAGACTACAGATCGAGACCAGCTTTCTGTTCTCCAGCGTACACACAAGCCAAAGTCTAACACAAAAATAATTGTCTTTTGGATGGTAAGCTTGGAAGACAATGTCTACAAGATGCAGCCTGCTTTTATCTCACCTCTAGAAAGCGTCCACAAACCAGGACTGAATACCAATTGGGATTTATGCATGCTCAAGCACGCGTACGCATCAGCTTATCTCTGGATTTTATTGACGCGTATGCCCAAGCCACTGGCGTGCTGACGCATAGTATGAAAAGCTTGGCAGTGGAGTTTGTTGTGGCCCATGTTGAAACCAGTGCCTGAGAATTATCCAAGCATAACCTCTTCGCAAACATTTTTCTGGGCATGTCACTTACACCAGCATTTACTGTAGCTGCCTTGCCAACCAAAACCCGAATTTAATCAACACTTAAAACTCGCGCATCTGCTGCTAGCATTTTCAACAATAGCAGCAGAAAATGTTTCTGCACCGGTGTGGATAGGCACGACAAAAGGCATGTGCTGGCAAACAAGACAAAACAAAGCAAGGTATAGCTACAACTACGACAACTCTATGTGCAGTAATCCTGTTTATTAAATTACTTGCTAGCATTCGGGCGCCGGAGAAACTATAATGCGGCAGTCGCGCTCTGGATACTTTGGACTGACTGTGAGGCTGTGCGTGCAAGGCATGACAACCGGATTCCCATGCCCATTCAAACGGTCGGACGAAAATAGCGATTCGGGCGGCATTGCAAAATCATAGTCCTTCAACAAATTGGCAATAATCGTCATCATCTCGTATTGAGCCAGGTTGCGGCCTGGGCAGATCCTGACACCAGAACTAAAGGTCAGCACGTTTGCTTTGGCCTTTTCGTCGTTGATAAAACGCTCTGGCATAAATCTGCGTGGGTTATCCCAAGTACCTTGGTGGTGGTTGGCGCCAGCAACGTTCACGCCAATCTGTGTGCCAGCCGGCAAAAAGTGTCCCTGAAAAGTGGCTCCGCCTTCAGGCACGACGCGAGGCAGGGGGACTCCAGACACTGCACGGATTCGCATGGACTCATAGATACATGCGTCCACGTACGGTAGGCGCGACTTTCCCTCGGCATAAGTAATTGTGTGGTGGCGGGAAAACGCAGAGCGCACTTCTGCGGTGGCATTGGCGTAGGCTTCGGGATAAAGCATCAAATAATGCAATGTCCAGCTCATAGTCAGCGACGTGGTGTCAGTGCCACCAATTAAGAACCCAATATTTTCGGCAGTCACCTGCGTGGCAGTCATCTGCACCTTTGACTCGGGATCCTGGCCGTCAATAAGGATTTGTAGTACATCCTTTGGCTTCTCGATCTCGCCTCGGCGCAGTTGTTCACGACGGTGTTCAGCTGTCGCGTTTCCAAAAGCTACAAATTCGTCTCTGCTCCGAATCAGCTGGCGCACAAGCAGGTTTGCGGGAAAAGACGTGACACGATCATAGACTATGCGAGCAACAGATAGCTTGTTGTAGTCGTTGACCCAGTCGACAATCTTGGCAGTGTCGTTGCGCAGCGCGTTGAATTGCTGGCCGTAACCCAGGGCGCCGATAATGTCAAACGTAGCCATGGAGAAATGGAGTGCATAGCACACAGTAGCCGATCCAGCAGCAGTCGATTCGGCAATTGCCTTGTCCCACTTGGCCTTTATAGCGTGAATGCCACACTCGAGAATAATCGGCTCCATTTCGTTCAGGTACCCATGAGTAAATGCCGGCCCAACTTGTCTGCGCCGCACATGAGTCAAGTCTGCCGAGTGCGTGGTGAACATCGTTTCGTCAATAAGCGCAAACGCCTTGTACATGTCACTTTTGACAAACCGGTGCGTGCTGAGTACTGCGCGGCAGTCTGCCGGGTTGCTAAGTATCACTATCCCAGGGGCCATCATAAACACGTCGCCAAATGCATAGTAGTCGGCCTCTGACACTCTAGACAACTGGCCAGAGACCATGACAAAGCGCGATGGCAGCGGCGAAAGGCGGAACAAGAGCCGCCCAGGAATGTTGCGATATGGCGAGAGAAGCAAGTTGTATATAACGTAGCCGACAACAATGACACCTGCCGCCCCTGCTGCAAGCTGCGCAAAGAACAACGATTCCTGTTGCCACAGGTACTCAGCAGCAAGGCGCAAGTTGATGATAGCGAGTTTGTAGATGGCCATATGTGGGTGTTTGCAATAATTCGAGACGTAGCAAGAATAAAGGAAGGTAAAGCAGCTATGCTTTTGATTCCTCGCAAGCTTTAGCAATGCTGCGTCGTGAAAGGCAAAAGATGCATCTGCATGTGCCAGCAATGCAGTGCGGTGAAAATCCAACTGTTTTTTCTCGACTATTTTGTAGGTGTAAAAAAAACGAGCGGAATGGCAGAGGCACATGCTTGTAAAAAGGCATTAGCGACTGCAGATCCGAGAATAAGCTCACTCTCCTTCCAAAATAAAAAAACAAGCCAATCTCTGGCCTGCGTGCAAGTGCCGGTCAGAGCACAACAGAACAGGCAAGGCACAGACCACAAGCTGTTTTATGCGCGCAGCTGCCGCACCAAAAGTTGGCAGCGACAGAAAGCATGGCAATAATATACTTGCCCTCCTCAAGGAGGAGGAAAAAAACAACTTTACATGCCTGCTGCCAGAATTGAACTGACGACCTCTGCTTTTCAAGCTCGAAAACTACGAGAGCAGCGCTCTGCCCCTGAGCTAAGAAGGCGGCTTTTACATTTTTCAACCATATATTGCTACCATCCTGCACCCCTCAAGCCCATTTTTTTTTTTTTTTTTTTGCTCTGGCGAGGAAAGGAGGTATCTTGATCCGTGCTTCTTGGAGCAGCCTTTAAGGAACTTTTCAGGGTCTTTTCGGTTTTCAACTGATCCACAGCTTGAGACTGGCGACGACAGGGGGTTTTTCTGGCCTTTTCCCTCCTTAAGCGGCTCGAGCTTTCATTCAAGGTCTGGTTAAGAATTGCAGTATGTCGTTTCTTCAGGGCAATATGCCCTCTTCTCCTGGTTATCGGGTCGGCGTATAGATTCTTAGCTATTCATGCTTAAATGTTGCATCAAAATAAATAAAATTTTTTTTTTTTGCTCGGCAACCTGGTCATGGCTGTCACTGGCTTTGGCGCCTGGAGAAGCAAACTGCCAAACGCCGACGCCCTGCATGGGCTGGCGGTCTGGGAAATCTACCGCGCTCGCACGGAGCTATCCCTGGACAGTGTTACGCACTCCGGAGAAGCCATGTTTTTACGCTGGCAATCGACTGCCATGCTGCGGATCGTCCATGACTATACCTACTCTTTCTCACGTCTCAAGGCTGGACAACCCTTTCACAAACGCTGGTTACAGGTGTCTAATCCGTGGTACCATTTTGATCCGGGCGAAGACGAGGATAGCGGGAAGCTTACTTTCCGAGACTCGAATTACCCACTGGACAGCCGCCTTCACTACCTCTCAACGCCTCAGGTGCCCTGAACACCTCCGCCATCTCCGATCCGCCGCCCAGTGCAAGGGAGGGACCCCTGGGATAGCAAATCTTACAGCCAGTGTTGCTTGGCAAAATGCCAACCTTGGCAAGCGCCTAGTCATAACATACGCTTACTACTGCAATTGCTCCCGCATAGCTACAAGGCCATTGCCCGAGTAGACCGCGCCTGCACTTGCGACGCTGGCCTTTTACAACTATACTCCAAACAACACCAAAGCAAGGCAAAAGCAATTGCTCCCAAATACCTAGCGGGCACAGAGCACAAATCCTTTAAATACTAGCTGACAATGTTTAAATGTCATAACACTGCCCACCCACCCACCAAAACAGATCAATTAATAAAGTGTTGTTGTATTCAAATACCGACAGATTGCTAAACAGATAAAAAAAAGGGCTAAAGGGGCTCAAGACCCATCTGCGCATGCATGTCCTCAAGCTTGTTGCTGTTGTGGTCGCATCTATTAAGTGCTCACCTCCATATCTAGATTTGCGCTCATAGTTGGTAGTACCCAAATAATACCACATAGTCGAAGTCTATCGGCTTTAAATTCAGGCATCTCTATTGTTGCGTTGAATTTTCCACTTGAATCTTTTGTTTTCAAAGCATTTGAATACTTGCCAAGCTTTTCACCAGACAGGTCGCATATTGTAATTCTTGGACACCTCATTGCTGCTCTAGCTCCAAACTTGATAAGCTCTATAGGATCAGCGTAACACTTTCCAAATATTGACAAGTAGACCAAATTGGGCCCCAACAGATCGTCAGGCTCGGGAGACATATCACTATCATTATCCCCATCTTCTTCATTGTCCTCATCGTCTTTGGATGTTAAAGTAATGCGACCAATATACTCCGCATCTAGATCTGGCTCTATTCGCAGCTCACGGATTGTTGGTAGGTGGTTCAATATTGTATATAAATCAGTTAGGCTCAGTTGTACTCCTTCGATATTTAGAGATTGTATATGCTTGCTAGCCGAGTGTGGTGAGACTATTGCGTCAAGCAATGCATCCTTGTATGGAAACGACAACAAGTTTAATGATAACTGCTGGACCTGGGGCGCAATTTGCAAGGCTATTTTTGAAATCATTTCACCCAGCGTCAACTCGTATGGTTCGTCTACGATGTTGATATCTAACGAGACATTTGTCACATTTGGGAACTTGCTAACGGCAAATAGCTCGTGCGTTCCAAGGATAATTATGTCTTCCATTCCAAGCTGCAGGGAGACATGCTTCAACTTGTCACAGTTATCTTGAAATGGCGCATCATCTTCAAAGGGGTATACGTGCGCTATGCTAATATGTTCTAGATTTGGAAATGGAGGTGCGGGCAACTCAAACCTTCCTACAATTGTGGCATTCTCAATAGCGGACGTTTTGAGCACTTTCAGCTGGGGATACCGAAAGCACTGGCCTCTATCGATACGGACTATTTGTTCAAATTGGTCAGAGTCCTCAAGTTCAATCTCTAGCTCCTCGAGTGTTATATGGTTGTTGTGAATAAGCGAGTAAATTACAAAAATGTCGGGAAAGTGTGAGCAACGCAGGTGTGTAAGGCTGTTATTAGTTGGCGGAGCGGTAAGGTTAAACAATCCAAAGTGCATGGCATAGTCGATTTTGGTGGCTCCACTAAATAGCTTGGACACCAACTCGTTGTAATAGTCTGAAACAATATTAAGCTCTTTGTCGTGCCTTTCTCGCCCCTCTACAGTGCACACTCTGTAGTTAGGAAACATTGAGCGAATTTGATCAGTAAAGCACTGTACATTTCTCATACCGACTTCCGTGTCTATGCCAGGAAGGTCCTCTCCCTTTGTTATCACAACCAGTATTTGTGAAACGTTTGGAAACCTAGCGCTGCAATATGGAGGCAATGAAAGATGATAAGACGCCATGCCACTGACAACCTCCTCGTGCGAGCATATCACATACGCTCGCTGGGCGAGTGTGCTGGTGCCTTGCTCCTCAAAGTTCAGAACAGTGACAAACCGGCTGCATTCCGGAGGAGTTTGTCGCACCATATCGTCAATGCACATGCTAACTTGCCTGTACAAGAATGGTCTACATACGCTGTACCAGTTCTCGCATAGACTCATTAACTTTCGTATTTCACAATTGGCAGCATCGCTTACTACATAAAAGTTGTAGCTACGCATTGAGGCGGGTATTCGGGTCGGTGGACTAACAATCTTTTGCACTAGATGGAGCGGAAAATGCTGAATACTAGCAGGCTTCACCGGCAATAGCCGCATATTCTAATTGAAGCAATAGAAAAGTGAAGAAAATTAAAGAAAAAAACTAGCTTGAGAAAGAAAGGTGCAGGCAAAGGAGAATAAAGCGTGTATTTTGCACATTGTTTGGCCATCGCTTTGTTAAAAGAAAAACAACACTTTCAAAGGTTTATTATCGTCTTTGACACAAAAGCGAGCATATGGTTTTTTATTCACTCGACAGTGACCGACTTTGCCAAGTTGCGAGGAAAGTCGACATCGACGCCGTTGAGCGTAGCCATGTGGTAAGAGAGCAGTTGCAGCGGGATGATAGACAAGATGCCCTGGAGACAGTCGACAGTATGCGGAATACGAATGGTCTTGAGATTGGCGTCGTCAATGTTGGTGTCGTTGGTGTTGCAGATGACAATGGGGCTGCCCTTGCGAGCTTGGACTTGCTGCAGGGCGCTCTGGACCTTTGGATAGTGCGAATCCATGGTCATGATCATGATGATAGGAATGTGCTCGTCAATAAGCGCCAAGGGCCCGTGCTTCAGCTCGCCGGCCATGATGCCCTCGCAGTGGATGTACGAGAGCTCCTTGATCTTGAGAGCGCCCTCCAAGCAAGTGGCACTCTGGAAGCCACGGCTCAGCACAAGCATGGACTTTTGCTGGTACAGGGTCTGCGACAGCTCCTTGATGCTGGCATCCATGGCAAGCACTTCCTTGACGAGGTTGGGCAGCTCGCGTAAGCCGTTGATGATCTCGCGGCGGCGCTCTGCCATGGAGATGCGGTCCTCACCAAGCTGCAGCGCCATCATCACCAACGCGAGGTACTGCGACGTGTAGGCCTTTGTGCTGGCAACGCCAATTTCGGGGCCAGCGTTGATGTGAACACCGCAGTGAGTCTCGCGCGAGATCGACGAGCCAACTGTATTGGTGATGCCAACGCACAGAGCACCACGCTCAAGGCAGTAGCGCAAGGCCAAGATGGTATCGGCAGTCTCGCCCGACTGCGAGACAAAGACGCAGACGTCGTCGCGGAAGATGGGTGACTTGCGGTCCAGAAACTCTGACGAGAGCTCGACCGAAACAGGAATCTCGGTCAGCTCCTCAAAGATGGCACGAGTCGCCAAGCAGCTGTTGTAGCTAGTGCCGCAGGCGGTAAAGACAATGCGACGGCAGCGGCGGATGGAAGACAAGTAGTTGCGCAGACCGCCCAGAACTACGCTGTGCTTGTTAAAGTCGACGCGGCCACGGATAGTGTTTACAACCGACTCGGGCTGCTCGTAAATCTCCTTGAGCATAAAATGTGGGAAGTTGCCCTTCATGATCGCGGCGAGCTCCATCTCGAGTGTTTTGATCGAGCGGATCGTGGACAGGCCGTCGTCGCGCCGCAGGCGGTAGATGTGCAAGTCGCCCTTGTTGGAAATATGCGCCATGTCGTCGTCCTCGAGGTACAACACGCGGCGCGTGTGCTCAATGATGGCCGACGGGTCAGAGGCCAAAAAGTACTCGAGCGGCTGGTTCGAGCCATCGGCGCGTGAGAACGACCGTGACTGAGCGCGCTTGGCGTAGGCCGGGTTCTTGTCCTCGTTGATGCTCGAGGCAGCCACAGCGTTAGAGATCTCCTCGACGTCGACAAAGTCAGCGGTCATGTTGTCGCCGGCCTTGATGCCAATGAGCAGAGGCGATCCACGCCGCGCGGCGACAATCTCGCCCGGAAAGTGCACGCTCTTGAACAAGAAGGCAAAGGCGCCCTCGAGCTCCTTGATGACAGCCTTGGCCAAGTCAGTAAAGCTAATGTGCTGGCCGCGCTGCGAGTCATAGACATACTTGAGCAGCTTGGCGACAATTTCCGTATCGGTCTCGGACTCGAAGGAGTAGCCCTTGTTGGCCAAGAGGGTGCGCAGCTCCTTGTAGTTGGTGATGATGCCGTTATGCACGATGGTAAACTCGTTGACAGAGTCCGAGCGGTGAGGATGGGCGTTGATCGGCGAGGGCTGACCGTGGGTA